GGTCATTTCAATAATGTTCACAGCATCTTCACCAGGAGTAGATTTCATCTCAAGAAACTATTTCTTTGCTTATCCGTAGGAATAAAATCCTCACCTGTTCAAGTTTTGTCATGAGATTACAGCAATTCAGTCCCATCTTCAGGCTCTACTTCTAATTCTGTTCTCTTGCTATTTCTACCACATCTGCAGTTACTTCCTCCACTGAAGTCTTGAACCTGTCAAAGTCATCCATGGGAACTAGAATCAAGTTATTCCAAATTCCTGTTAATGTTGATATTTTTGACCTCTACCCCATGAATCACGAATGTTCTTAATATCATCTAGAACGGTGAATCCTTTCCGGGTTTTCAAGTTGCTTTGCCCAGACCCATAGAAAAATCATGATCTGTGGCAGCTATAGACTTACCAAATGTATTTCTTAAATACTAAGACTTGAAAGTCAAAATTACTCCTCGATCCATGGGCCACAGAATGAATGTTGTATTGGAAGGCATGAAAACAACATTTATCTCCTTGTATTTCTCCATCAGATCTCTTGAGTGACTAGGTGCATTGTCAGTAAGCAGTAATATTTTGAAAGGAATCTTTTTTTCTGAGCAGTAGGTCTCAACAGTGGGATTAAATTATTCAGTAAATCGTGTTGTAAACAGATGTGCTATCATCCAGGCTTTATTGTTCCATTTTTAGAGCATAGGCAGAGTAGATTTAGCAAAATTCTTAAGGGCCCTAAGATTTTTGGAGTGTCAATGAGCACATGAATTCACCAGCTGCATTAGCCCCTAACGAGAGTCAGCCTGTCCTTTGAAGCTTTGAAGCTAGGCATTGACTTCTCCTTTCCAGCTGTGAAAGTCCTAGATGGCATCTTTTTCTAATAAGAGGCTGTTTTGTCTACCTTGAAAATCTGTTGTTTACTGTAGCCACCTTCACCAAAGATATTAGCTGAATCTTCTGGAAAAGTTGCTGCAGCTTCTGTATCAGAACTTGCTGCTTCACCTTACAGTTTTGTTATGGAGATGACTTCTTTCCTTAAACCTAATGAACCAGCCTCTTCTAGCTTCACACTTTTCTTCTGCAGCTTCCGCAGCTCTCAGAATGGAAGAGAGTTAGGGCCTTGCTCTGGATTAGGTTTTTACTTATGGAAATATTGTGACTGGTTTGATCTTCTATCCAGACCACTAAAACTTTCTCCATATCCAGCAATAAGGCTGTTTCATTTTCTTATCATTCATTTGTTCACTGGCGTAATATTTACAGTTTCCTTCAAGAACTTTTCTTTTGCATTCACAACTTGGCTAACTGGTACAAGAGGCCTAGCTTTCAGTCTGTCTCGGGTCTCAACATGCCTTCCTCACTAAGCTTAATCATGTCTAGCTTTTGATGTAAAAGGAGAGATGTGCAACTCTTTCTTTGACTTGAATACATAGAGGTCATTGTAGGGTTATTAATTGGCATGATTTCAATATTGTGTGTCTCAGGGAATAGAGAGGCCTGAGGAGAGGGAGAAAGATGGGGAAAGGCTCGTTGATGGAGCAGTCAGCACACACATATATATCGATTATGTTTGCCATTTTATATGGGTGTGGTTCATGGCACCCAAAAACAATTAGAGACAAGTAACTTGAAATTGACATACCCATTAAGCAAAGGAATTTCCAGTGGGTACAAGAATAGAAATATCAAAGATCACTGACCACAGATCACCATAACAGATATAATAATAATGAAAAAGTTGGAAATATTGGAAGAATTAACGAAATGTGGCACAGAGACATGAAAGTGAGCACATGCTGTTGGAAAAAATGGCTCCAATAGACTCGCCCAATACAGGGTTGCCACAAACCTTCAATTTATAAAAAATGCAACACAGCGAAGTGCACTAAAATAAGGCGTACCTATACTTAGAGACAGAAAGCCCAGCAAAAATTTAATTCTCATCAAGGGAGAGATATACTTAACCCATTGCTTTACTTTTTTAAGAATTTTCAAATAAAATTCAGAGAGAAGATAGGCCTGTTTGACATTATGGAATAAATATTTGACTTTGTGAAGTAAAATAGCTTATAACAGAAAAAAAATGGAGAAGCCACGTAGCATGTAGCACGGGTTGAAGGACTAAAAATGAAAAGAATCCCAGTGATAGGAAGTTTTACTTAAATTTGATGAAGACAACAAAAAACATGTAACTTTAAAAGTAAGCACCAATTTGTGGTACATTTTGCCTAAAACTGAAATGTCTCATCTAGAGTGGAAGGTAGAGGAAAACTTGAAATTGATCAGATTACTTCTGGTGTCCTGCTCTGATGTTATACACTCATTACAATAGCCAATGCTGATAAATTATCTCTCTTGGCCACATGCAAAGGTACAAGTATCTCCCAGTCATCTTGTTGGCAGATGGAATTTTCCCCATCATTTTCCATTCCCTTAATATTAACCATGAATTTACAGTGACCGAAAAGAATCCAACTCTATACTGGGCAGTAAAGTTTAGAGACAGGTACCTTGAAATTGACATACCCAGGAAGCAAATGTGGAAGAACTTCTGGAAATTTCTAGTGAGTACAGGAATACTGAGATAACTGAGGTGTGATTCTTGCAATCAAGGAGTTCAGAGTATGGTAGGAGAGACAGGTGTTCTGTCAGCTCTGACACAATGTGGGAAATGCTGTGAGAACATTGTGATCACAGTGTGCTTAAGGAGCCAGGTAGGATTTCACAGAGGAGGTGAAATTTTCAACACGAGGTGAAATGGAAAGGCAGGAGTGCCCAGGTAACAAGGTTGGATAGTATCTTATGAGCAAGAAAACGTCACCATAGGTTGTTTTTGTTTTTGTTTGAAATAGAATCTTGCTGTGTCACCTAGGCTGGAATGCAGTGGCATGATCTCGGCTCACTGCAACCTCCACCTCCTGGATTCAAACGATTCTCCTGCCTCAGCCTCCCAAGTAGCTGGGACTACAGGCACATGCCACCACATCCAGCTAATTTTTGTATTTTTAGTAGAGACAGAGTTTCACCATGTTGGCCAGGCTGGTCTCAAACTCCTGACCTCAGGTGATCCGCCTGCCTTGGCCTCCCGAAGTGCTGGGATTACAGGTGTGAGCCACCACACCCAGCCCGCCATAGTTTTTTTACACAAGACAGTGGCATATTTCAACTTGTGTTAAAACTGGAGTCTTCAGTGGGAAAGAGAGCAGTTAGGAGGTCAGTATAAGCAACTTGTTAAAGTTACTCAGGAAAAACAAAATTCATGATAGCAATATAAAAGAGCAACCAATGTCCAGGTCTCCAAAAAAAAAAGTTCATAGCCCACCCCACCCCCACCCTCCCTTCCTGGAATACTTGACTTTAAAGAGGAAACACAACCCTCTGGATAAGTTCTGGTGCAGAGGTTGGTTCTGCATCTCCAGGTCTGGTACACGTTGTTAAATCCATGTTCACACCTAAGCCTAGCAGCCAGAGGGCATAGAAATCCTCAGGGGCCACCTGGCTTGGCCATATACCATTTCTTCCTCCTGCCACTTTCTACTCTCTGGCCTGTGTTTTTAGAGTACTCTCTAGCTACAAGAAGTTTTTCAATAAAAATAAGCAATTTATCTGTGTTTTTAGTCTCACAGAACTTTGGAAAGTAGCAACTTAATCCAAGCCATAAAATAGTGATGCATGTATTGTAGTGAAGCCTGAAGTTTCAGCTTTCTCAATGGAAACTGCTTCTTAATATTCGTATCTTTTATCTTTAATGTGAGATTTTCTCTATTGTATTCTAAGATTCAGGTTATATCAGCTTCCACATGGTTTTCTAACTTAAAATATCCTCTACATTTAACATTTTTGTAAAGCAAGGTAAAGATTTCAGAATATATGCTTAAGGAGAAATGCAATACCAAGTGAGAGATATTATTTTGATGATGATGAAAATGATGATAGTTATAACAGAAACTGTTATAATGTGACTGTTATATGCCAGGCACTATTCTAAGCATGTGCATTTATAAGCTCCTTTGATACTATAACCCAATGAGATAACTGCATTTCCCCTTTCATAGACAAGATGATTCAAAGCACAGAGAACATAACAGATTTGCTCAAGAACACACAGCTGGTAAATGATGCGGTCAGGCTTAAACTCTGTCCAGCTTGCTCAGAGTTCATGCTCTTAATCATTAAGCTGTGCTTGCTCTCTCCGATACTTTAAATATCCTATGCTTTTATATTTAAACATAATAAAATGTGCAGAAGTTTCAACTTCAGAAATATGAGTCTGCCAGCCTTAGGCATCTCGTTTAATTGTCCCCTCCTTGCCATCTAGTTCTAGGTGCAGGTAGTCACTATGCTTAGCTGTGAAAGCTATCTTCAAGGAACAGCAGGGAATCCAGAGCTATTAGGAATGACATGGAAACAAATGTAATGTTTTTCACCTATATTGGTGTTCTGAGAAAATAGAAGCAGTAGAGTATTTATAAACATTTGTTAGCACTCAGGATTCTATAAGTTTGTCTTTGGTTCTCGGTGTCAGGCAAAATAACTGCTCCTATATTGAGGATGCAGGTTCAAAGGTGTGAGTTTGGTTTGCAGACTGGCCTCCGTGTTCCAGCATTCCTGAGACCCGACTTTGTTATCTAGAATGGGTTACCAATTATCGGGTGTGTGCTCTGGAAACTCATAGAATAGGCAACAGTATAGTTCCTGGAGCTCTGTCTTCTGGATAAATATTATATTCATTTCTGAATTTTATATTATATGGATGACTAAAACAAAGGTGAAAATGGGGACATGATATGATTCCTGTTCTCCTGACACATAAACTTTAATCAAAAGCCACAGGGAAAAAAGATGTTAATGTGCCAGTTCCAGACAGCTGACAATAGTGCTGCTCATGCTAAAGCCACTAAAGTCAGTACAGCAGTAACCATCTGTTATTGTCTCACTTTCACAGATCCACTTGGTCTTCACATTTTTATGTACAAATTCTTATTTCTTTTGTTTTCTCATTTGAACAGAGCATCATGGTCCACCATCAGGAACAAACTCAGCCAGGCAAAGCCCAGCCCTGCAGCACAGGCCCGTGGGACAGTCACAGGCCAACCACATACCTGGGGACAGGTGGGGCTATTCTCAGGTTTTTTGTTTTTGTTTTTGTTTTCCTTATTCTCTCCTTATTGCTCTGCTATTCATAACCCCACTCCCCATCATCCACCCCCATACAGTAATGCAGATGCCAGCTGTTGAGGTCAAAATGACAACTCTTGCCTGTTCCTCAAATACCGTCCCCATTGCTTCCACCCACCCATTCAGTACCTTCGTCCCTCTTCCAGCCTCCATCCCAGGCACAGCATAATTATCCAATTTTGCCTGACATGCGAGGATTAGAAAGAAATGACAGTAGCATCTGGCTCTGCTACTCTTGGTCCTCCTAGTTTTCATAGGCAAACTGCAGACCCATATGGATTGCTATCGTATCAGGCCACCTGAGCAGAGCAGGTTTTTGTGTGTATTTCTGTCCTCTTTCATTGAAAATATTAGCCAAAACAAAAACTAGATTTCCAGAAATCCAGCATCTTCACGGGCGTTGGTGCTGCAGGAGAGCCATTTTTCACTGAGACAGGGTCAGCTTAACTGCCCTCTGGTGTAGTTATTTGGTTGCAGTTTCCTTTGCTATAAACTGCTCTGAGATGTCCTTAAAAAAATTGGGGATATTGACAGACTTCAAGATATGTTGGAATTAATGGCCAGGTTTCTCCTAGCGCCCCTCTGATTTTAGATATAGTCTGTCTTCACAGTGGTTTGTCAGAGGGAAAAGTGGCAAGGTTGAGCTTTTAAAAGAAAAGAAATTAATCTGCCTTTAGACTGCTTTTCATTGTCTCAGGTCAGAGAGTGACTTGATTTCTCTCTTGTAGAAGTGGCCTAGAAGGTGAGATTGGAAAAGATGTCTGCACTTCCTACAGACATTCTTGGTCAGACCACAAGCACCTTGCACAGCCTGACCCCGCAGTGATTCCAGTTGTAGGCAGTCGGCACAATCAGGTAAACAAACACTCCCCCAGACGGGGAGTGAGATTTTGAGTTGCCATACCACTGGCATTGGTGAATTTTTATTACAGATCAGTTCAGATAAATTTGTTTGCAAAACTAATAATTCTCGAAGACCTGCCATGTGTTTGGCATTCTGCTGGCATCCACGGGAGGCCGTCAGGTGTGAAAGAAAAGTTTCCCCTATAGCAAGAGAATTTTGAACCCTTGGTTAAGTACTTAGCAGTAAATAGTATTTTATATAATCAAATTAGGGTTTTTTGTTTGTTGTTTGTTTTTCAGGAAAATTAGTCAAATGCTACTTAAAGGAAGCACTTTCCAAAATTCTGTTCTCTGTTCCATTGCACATTGACCAACTAGAAAGGACATGTAACCTTCAGATTAGTTTAGGCCACATTTATAAAAATTAAGGAGCCCTTTAACGAAAACCTACATTCCTTCTTTACAATATAGAAATGCACATTGAGAGTATAAATGATTTCCCCTAGCTATAGAAGTAATCTTTCTTCAAAATGTAAATAAACAGTCCGTGAGAACTTGCTTTTCTTATACTTCTTTCTCTCTAGAGCCTTGGTTGTTACCCAGTAGAGCTGGAGAGAGGCCCCCGGGGCTTTGGATTCAGCCTCCGAGGGGGGAAGGAGTACAACATGGGGCTGTTCATCCTTCGTCTTGCTGAAGATGGTCCTGCCATCAAAGATGGCAGAATTCATGTGAGTTGGTTTCTGTCTGTAACCTTAGGTTCAGGCTCTAGACTAGAAACTTCAAAAGATATTAATAATTGATTTAAAGGGATGCAGGAACCTCCTACATCTAAAAAGCAGGATTTGTCGTCACTGATACCTCAAAAAGGCAAGTGCTTGTCATTTTGCTTTTCTAATGCCCTGATGATTTCATTTCTTCCCTTCAGTGTGCTAAACTGTATTACAGTTATGCTACTTTGCCTTCTTGACCTTGGTCAATAAGAAAATTCATTTCTTATTCACATAGTCAACATCTGAGGGTAAATGAATTAATAAATACACTTTTCATCTTAATAAGAGTCTTGAGAAAGCAAGGATCAAATAGAATCTTTAACTTCTCCCAGGAAACAATAGGTCCAGGATTTTTACCCCCCTCTTAGCTACCTGGAGAGGTAACTAGAGGCTGAAAAGTGTGGCTCTCAATACTTCTTACTGTTTGAAGGACTAGAATTCACATCAGTAGTATTCCATCACAGATGTTCTCACTCTGAAACACTGTGACTTCATATAGGGCATTGCAGACCAAGTTGTTTCTAGATCTGCATAAGATAGTTTTTCCCTCTTCTCTGGTTGTTAATTAAAGAAGAATCTTATGTAGAAGACATTTGCTGCCAGGCGTGGTGGCTCACGCCTGTAATCCCAGCACTTTGGGAGGCCGAGGCGGGCAAATCACCTGAGGTTGGGAGTTCGAGACCAGCCTGACCAACGTGGAGAAACCCTGTCTCTACTAAAGATACAAAAATTAGCCAGCTGTGATGGCACATGCCTGTAATCCCAGCTACTCGGGAGGCTGAGGCAGGAGAATCGCTTGAACCCAGGAGGCAGAGGTTGCAGTGAGCCAAGATCGTGCCATTGCACTCCAGCCTGGGCAGCAAGAGCAAAACTCCATCTAAAAAAAAAAAAGAAAGACATTTGCTGTCCTTGATTAAAAAAAAAAAAAAAAAGTTAATTCACTGGTATTCAGTTAGGTGATACACTAAAAATTTTTAATTCTAGATACCCTTCCCCCTACTAACTCAAAAAAGGTTTGGATTTCCTTTCTCTGCCACCAGTAAGCATCAGGGAAAAGGAACTTTTTTTTTTTTTAACTTTAAGTAATTCAGTGAGAAAGGCAAATGACCCTGGTAATTATTAGCTGGTATATTGTAGTGATGATTAGAAAAGGTGCTTCTGGGTGATTTAGCAGTTTTGCATTTTTCATTTCACTCCCATTACTCATTTCATAAACACACACTGAGTGTTTGCATTACCCAAAGCCTTGTGCGCGCTACTGAATTAGCTGGGAGAGACAGTGACCCAAAACAAATAAGATACTATCCTCCCTCAGAATGACCAGACACATGCACAAGTTCAAAGGGGTGAATAGAGAAGATTTCACAGAATAGGTGGCATTGTCTGACAGGTGCACAGGATTTCAATAGGGAGAAATTGAGGAGAGAAAACATTCCAGGCTGAATAAATGAGCAATGGGGTAAAACTAAGGAAGTATAAGTCATGTACAGGGAACTTCAAATGGTTGAGTTTACTTAGATTTTATTTAGAAAATATGTAGAGGAACAGAGGAGATGAGAATATAAAAGCATATGGGTCACAGGCATAAAAGTCCTAGACAGTGGAAGCCACGGGAGGCTTTTTAGCCAGGAATTTCCCCTTGGAGCAATCTGCTGATAAAAATCTGTTAGTGGTGTGCAGGATGGATGAAGGAATCCAGGTAGCTGTAATTTATGCATACAGTGGTAGTGGTGGGAGTATAACTTGGTAACGCTTTGGATGGAAGATAAGAGATGCCTATGAGTTCAACTGTCAGTGAAGAAAAGACCAGACTAGATGACCAACAAGATCCTTTAAATGAGGGATGAAGGAAAAGGAAGAGTAAAGGATGACTCAGAAGCCTCGCCCCATCTGTACTACGAAAACCATTAGGGAGGCCAAGGGGAGAAAGGATATGGCAAAGACTGATGGTGTAGTCAGTTTGAGTCATGTTGCGGTGAAGGGAACAGCTAGTAGAGCAGGTGTAAATGTTCAGCAGGCAATTACTACTAGTGGTGGAAGCCCAGATTGTGACATTACTGAGAAGTGATGATGGAAACCTTTGTGGTAGATAAGATCACTAAAGAAGAATATTTAGAGAGTAGTGAGCCAAGGGCAGAGCTCTGAGCAAGGCGTGTAGTTAGATAAGATAAAGGAAATGGGAAGGCAGAGCATGCAGAGCCACAGAGCCAAAGCTGCAGTGTTTATGACAAGGAGGGACTGATGGCCAAATGCTGTTAGTACAGCTTGTCAAGAACTCAGGAACTCCTGGATCTGCTTTCTCGTAGAGACAGTTTCATATGGTGACACAAACATGGGTTTGGAAATCAGACAGGACAAGAATCTTCTCCTAACCTGAGTTTCCTCATCTGCAAAATGCAGAACTATATGTAAAATACATGGTCCAAGTAAACTTCTTAAAGTCTTAATAAGAGCATCCTGAGACACTGTTTACAGAGCATGGCATATTTATTCCTGGTTTTCTTGGTCCTTTCCCCTCCCCTCCCCTCCTGTCTTCTCTCTCTCTCTTTTCTCTCTGTCTCTCTCTCACAAACACACAAGTCCTCTTCAGTTACTTTACATCTGTGTTTTTAACACTTCCATTGTATATATTGTCACCAAAATCCTAATTACATGATAAATTAGGATAACATTGTTTTAAATGTTGGTTCCAAATATAACCCTCAGATCCACTAATGTCAGTAAACAAAAGGCAAACAGGCCTTAAAGCAGATAAAGTCTAGTTCTAAACATGTCATTCTTAGCCAGGAGTGGTGGCACGTGCTTGTAATCCCAGCTACTTGGGAGGCTGAGGTGGGAGGGTCACTTGAGCCCAGGAGTTCAATACCAGTCTGGGCAATACAGCAAAACATCTTCAGTTAAAAAATGACAACATGACATGCTTTATGAATGAGCAGAAACTTTAGAATCTAATGATGAAATCAGCTTTTATTTCAAGAATAAACTCTGAAAAACAAACGGAAATAAGCAATTAACTGTTAGACCCTAGTGTGCTCTAACCTGTAAGAAAATGTCAGCTTTTCAGAGAAGTCACTTTTTGGGCTATTAAGTTATCAAAATCTTGACTTGATAAAGCTTATGAGGGCTTTGCATATAACTAGTGCTCAATAATATGTTATTGATGACAACTTTCTCTGGTGGCCACTGTCCAAATGGTAAGAGTTTATCTCCAGCTGACACTCGCACCACGGAGCTACCTGAGTGCCCCCTCTGCCTCCCCCGCTTGCCTCTCCTCTTCTCCCTTTATTAGGGTGACCACTGTGCTTTGTGTCCTATACCTCTTACTCTGTATTTCCAGCACCTGATACAGTGCCTTGAATATTCACACCAGGTGCTCCATAGGTATTTGTTGAAAGAGTAAAATGGATGGATCATTCTAGATACTGAGAGAATTACTGTGTTTGTTTGTTTGTTTTTTAAGATCAGTTCCCAGCACGTATTACTGGGTGAACAGGAGTGGGGATATATGAAGTAATTAGCAACAATCTTAGTGTCATTAAGAAAACAAGAAAATGTTAACTTGTAACATAGATGGAAGGGGTTGAGAGGTTTTTCCTTTCAGTCTGGTTAAAATTTAGAGAGGAGGGAGAAAAAAGTGTTCTGGGATAAGGAACTGAGAAATAGCTGAATGGAAAAGGTTCATATTAGCAAAGTGTCAAACTTGAATATTTAACATAGAACAGAATCAGATTTAGAAAATATTAAGAGTTTGCTGTCTTTGAGGCAATATGTGTTTTCCTACATGTGTGTTTTTACTTACATTAGTTTTATAGTCTCTCAGAAACTCTGAAATAGGTGACATTATCCCCACTTACAGATTTAAAACTGAGGCTCAAGGAGACCTAGTCACTTGCAGAGATCACTCAGCCTGTGAAGGCCACAGTGTGACCCAGGTGTGATCCTGGTCCGTCATCCTCGAAGCTCGGTCCGTGTCCTTTCCGCTATGTCAGGTCTTGGCTTGTGTCCAGTTTGGATTGGATTTCATTGAGAGGCAGATAGTTTCTTAACAGGTTGTGAGATAATATAAGCCATGTGGTAGAAATATTTTGTCATTTTAATACATTTGTAGTGGATGTTGTTTTTAAAACGACAAGACTGCCTAAAAAGATAGTGATTTGTTTAAAAAAGGGAACATTCTTTTTGTCTATTCTTCCTACTTCTTTTCTTTTGGTTCTATTTTTTTTCTCTCTTTTCTTTCCTCTCTCTCCTCTGTCCCCATAATTATTTTTCAATAATACAAAACCAAACTTAAATGTTTGTTCTATTTATCAAAAGATGTTTTCTCCAAATTATTTTTTATCACATTTTTAAAGTGACTCAAAATGTTAAAAGGATGTTTACTGGGTGAATTTACTTCTCTGAATTTCCCTCTCAGGAGAGTCTTTTGCATCTGTAGTTTTGTGTATGTAGGTCTCTGCAGAATTTCTCCTGCTCTGAGGGGCCTACCATAAATCTTAAAGCAATGGCTCCCCCTCCTTCCCCTCATTCAGTTTTAAAGTTAAACAGAAATGACACCTGGTGGCAAGTCTGTTCAATTACAAGTTTTGTTTTGTTTTTTGTTTTTTTTTTTGCAGTTTATTGCAGTAAAAGAATAAAGAGTGTTACAGGTTTGGAGAGCTTAAGCTAAAGAATGTGACTGAAATAAATTATAACCTCAAACACGTTTTACAAGATATACCCAAAGCAGTGTCCAAATACTATCTATTTTAATTTTCTTTAGTTATCAGCAGGATTATATATCTAGTGCTAATTTATTACCTACATTGCCTCATGAAAATGATTCTTCTTCCATCACTTATCAAGGGAAATCTAAGTACTGGCTTTTGTTTCACTTATATATTCTGGATAGTAAGGGGTTTCAAATTACTCTCCATCCTATTGTCTTACTTTGGTTTTATTAAGGTGTTTTCATCTTACATATTAAATCCATCAATCTTGTTTCTGATATCCTCCATTTCTTCAAGAGTAAGACTCCCTTGTTTAAAATAAGTATGCAATAAGACCCTTAGTCTATTTCGTAGTTGACTTGAATTTTTTTTTGCATTGTATAGAATGGAGTACAGTCTACAGTTAAATCTTCATAATGATACACTTGAAAATAGCTTGAAAACTAATATTTGTACTTGGTATATAATCATGTTTTATCTTAAGTCCTCCCAGAAACCCACGAAGTAGGTACTAATATTATCCTCATTTAACAGATGAGGAAAATGAGACCACAACACTAGAAAGAGGTGGAGCACAAGATGGGAACCACGGCCTCCTGACCGCCTGTGCCGTGCTGTGTCTGTAGAAAGCGTTGACCCACTGACCTTTGTTAAATATTGAGTCCTTCTGTTTTGTTACTTCTGGATTGGCTTATTATTTTTTTTATTCTTTAGTCACCTTGCAGCTAGCTAGCTTCAACTCAAAGGAACTTCTGGATTGCTTTAGTAAGCTCTTACAAACGTTTGAGTATTTGCTTTTAGGAATTTCAGTAATATGCCATTGTTTAATTTTTCTGTTTTGAAGCCAGTATCCTTCATTTACATGTCACCTTGAAATAGTTTTCAATTTTTTAAATAAATTCAGGGGGGTACATGTACAGGTTTTTTACACAGGTATATTGCATGATTCTGAGGCTTAGAATATGAATGAGTTCCCATCTCCCAGGTAGTGGGCATAGTACCCAATAGGCAGTTTTTTAGCCCTTGACCCTCTCCTTCCCTCCCCCATCTTGTATTCCCGTGTCTGTTATTCTCATCTTTGTGTCCATGTGTACTCAGTGTTTAGCTCCCACTGACAAGTGAGAACATGATGTGTTTGGTTTTCTGTTTCTGCATTAGTTTGCTTAGGATAATGGCCTCCAACTCCATCCTTGTTGCTGCAAGGGGACATGATTTCGCTCTTTTTGGCTGCATAGTATTCTATGGTGTATCTGTACCACATTTTCTTTATCCAATCTGGCATTCATCAACATGTGTTTGCTTGAAATAGATTTAAAATCAGTACCATCATTATCTTTAATTAGGTCTGTTCCAAAGTTATACTTGACTTTTACATATTTTCCCTTTTTCTTTTAAAGTAACTCAGACATTTCTAGTAAATCACAATGGTACTAAGGTAGATCTTATTCTGATCCCTAGTTTTATGTTTATTTTCCTAAGAAATGATTTTATTTTTTTATTTTTATTTTTTTGAGACAGAGTTTCGCTCATTGCCCAGACTGGAGTGCAATGGCGTAATCTCGGCTCAACACAACCTCCACCTCCCGGGTTCAAGTGATTCTCTTGCCTCAGCCTCCGGAGTAGCTGGGATTACAGGCATGCGCCACCACGCCTGGCCAATTTTGTATTTTTAGTAGAGACAGGGTTTCTCCATGTTGGTGAGGCTGGTCTCAAACTCCCAACCTCAGGTGATCCACCCGCCTCGGCCTCCCAAAGTGCTGGGATTACAGGTGTTAGCCACTGCCTCTGGCCCTGAGAAATGATTTTACACTAACATCACTAAGTTTAACATCACTGAGTTACTGGTTTTAAATAACTGTTCATATTAATCTATTCTCCAAGCTTAAATTTTTAAGAATTTTAATCTATAAAGATGTCATTTATTCAAATGCCTCATGTATGTACAGGACATAGCAGCAGCTCAAAGGAATGAGCAGTTCTCCCTGGAGGCCAGAAAGGCTTCAAAGATAAGGAGCCCTCCGCCCAGGTTTTAGGAGATACATTTCGGATTCAGCTCAACTTTGAAAGTACCCTTCACATTCAGACATAACTCTGTAGTATCATTTGGATTGTTGTTTTTCAAATGCCTAACGTGTACCCAGTGCTCTCTTGTGTGAGAGTTGATAAGAGGACAGATGGCAGCAACAGGAAGAGACAATGTCCAGGTTTACTCACGTATAAAAACCCTACACAAGAAGTGCCCAGGTTTACTTATGAAAATCCTACACAGGGCCGAGCATGGTGGCTCACGCCTGTAATCCCAGCACTTTGGGAGGCCAAGGCAGGTGGATCACGAGGTCAGGAGGTCGAGACTATCCTGGCTAACATGGTGAAACCCCGTCTCTACTAAAAATACAAAAAATTAGCCGGGCGTGGTGGCGGGCGCCTGCATAGTCCCAGCTACTCCTGAGGCTGAGGCAGGAGAATGACTTGAACGCGAGAGGCGGAGCTTGCAGTGAGCCGAGATCGCACCACTGCACTCCAGCCTGGGCCACAGAATGAGACTCCCTCTCAAAAACAACAAAAAGAAAAAAAGAAAACCCTACACAGGAAAGTTTTATATGGCTATTAAAGATCTGGGCATCTTCAAATCAAGAACCAAATTCTAGAATTTGATTAACATTCTAAATTCGATTTTTATAAATTTAGAAAATTCCAAATCTGATTCTAGAATTTGATTCTTGACTTCAAGATGTCCAGATCTTAGTTACTAGCCATATAAAACTTTCCTGTGTAGGATTTTTTGTGAGTACACCTGGACATTGCCGCTTCCTGTTGTTTGTTATCATCTGTCCTCTCATCAACTCTCGCAGGGCAGCACTGGGTACACGTTAGGTATTTTACAGACGAAAGAATCACTTAGCAAGGTTGAATGGCTCAAGAGCTGACAAAAGCAGAATTTACAAAGGATGCATAGTTTCATGTTGTCCCTGTGAATGTTCTCTGTCTAGGTTGGTGACCAGATTGTTGAAATCAATGGGGAACCTACACAAGGAATCACACATACTCGAGCAATTGAGCTCATTCAGGCTGGCGGAAATAAAGTTCTTCTTCTTTTGAGGCCAGGAACTGGCTTGATACCTGACCATGGTAAGTAAAGTAGCCCACTAGTAGCTGAAAAGTTGTATATTATGGAGGGGGGGGCAGAAGAAAGATGAATATATATTTGCAGAGGATAGATATTTTACTAGTTAATTCAGAGATGAATGCTGGAACCATGAAAAGCTAGTTACATAGCAGAGTTATCATAAATAGTATTAGAAAACAAGTGACTTAGGCAGGACTTTCATTGGAATGGAATGTATTTTAAATTCAATCAGAAAAAACATAGTTGTTTTTGTAGAAAAATGTGCCTATAAAAAAAGTGTATTAGAGGCAAACAATTTAAATATCATAAAAAACATTTTAAATCTCTGCAAAATATCCCAGCTTTTCCCCTTACTTAGCTAATTACACATTACCAACCAATATTTTTATTTCTGTAAAGCAAGATAAGTTTATATTATAATGAATATGCAGCATGAAAACTTTAGGCTTTTCTGGTGACTCGGCAAAAACAAGTTGCTATCACCCTACCTGGAGACACGGAGTTGGACCTGAGACCATGTCTGTCTTGTATTAATGTTAAACTTCCTGGGTTTCCATTGCATGTTTTGAAATATCATGGTATTTGAAAGTCACTGTTTTTTGAGTGCACTATTCTAGAAATAAAGGCAGTACGACACCCACACAGTACTTGCCTCATCTAGCTCCCCACTCCCTGCCCTACCCAACCTCACCACTTTTGAGGGATAAGTGTAGACATAACCTCCTACAGTAGCCTTCCAGCTTATGATTCTCTGACTGTATTATCTTCCACCATCTGCTTGTAAATCATACGTTCCCAGTGACATCTTTGCTAACTGCACTGATTTTTTTTTTCACATAGTCCTAGGCTTTTTCTCTTCCCTCTTCAGGTTTGGCTCCTTCCGGTCTGTGCTCCTACGTGAAACCCGAGCAACATTAAGGCTTTCAGGGCTTTTCTTGGTCTTTCCTTAAAAAGACTTGGTAAATTTGCATGTCTTGTAAATCACTTTCTTCTTTTGTTTTCTTTTAAATTAAAAATGATGCTATTAAATACATCTGTTTCTATCTTCCGCACTTTTCAGTCTCCTTTTGACATTAAATTTGACAGCTTAATGCAAGAAAATTATTTACAAATGCCCATGAGCCTCATTCTGGTTACCACAGTTTGGTTTCCTTTATTAATTAGTGATTTTGCCATATCCTAAACTATATCAATCCATAATAATTAGTGAGCTTCTTGGGCCAGGTAATTTGGTTCAACTTTATAACTTGTAAGTTCTAATTGGGCTTTACTAATAGAGAATTTACAGAACATATATTATCTCACTAATTATATGTAATTGGAAAAAAATGAATATTATTTTATGTATCTAAACAACCTATCCTTTATGTATGAACAGATGTTTATACACATCTGCCTATATTTGTAGAGAGATATGTTGTAAACATACACAAACTGTATAAAATACAGGCTTTTTAAGCAGTTAGTACAATTCAAATGGCTGTCAAAGTTCAAACGTACTGTTCCTATTTGTAATTCTAAAAATAATGTTCCATTCAAATCACTTTTTTAGGTGATTGGGATATTAATAATCCTTCATCGTCAAATGTGATTTATGATGAACAGTCACCATTACCCCCATCTTCACATTCTGCTTCCATATTTGAAGAGTCTCACATGCCAGTAATTGAAGAATCTTTAATGAGAGTTCAGATATGTGAAAAGGCAGAAGAATTAAAGGACATTGTACCTGAAAAGAAAAGCACTTTAAATGAAAATCAACCTGAGATAAAGCACCAGTCTCTTCTCCAGAAAAATGTGAGTAAGAGGGATCCACCCAGCAGTCATGGGCACAGTAACAAGAAAACTCTATTAAAAGTAGAAAATGGTGTTACACGAAGAGGTAGATCGGTTAGTCCCAAAAAGCCAGCCAGTCAACATTCAGAGGAACATTTGGATAAGATTTCTAGTCCTCTAAAAAATGACCCCAAAAGAAGACCCAGAGATCGATCCCTCAGCCCCAGCAAAGGGGAAAATAAAAGTTGCCAGGTCAGCACCAAGGCAGGTTCTGGACAAGATCAGTGCAGAAAAAGCAGAGGTCGGTCTGCCAGTCCAAAAAAGCAGCAAAAAATTGAAGGAAGCAAAGCTCCATCAAATGCTGAGGCCAAATTGTTAGAGGGTAAGAGTCGAAGAATAGCAGGCCACACAGGCAGTAATGCTGAGCAGATCCTAGATGGGAAGGAAAAATCAGACGTCATCAGGAAAGATGCAAAGCAGAATCAGGTGGAAAAAAGCAGAACAAGGTCTCCAGAGAAAAAAAGCAAAAGAATGGTTGAGAAATCTCTTCCATCCAAAAAGACTAATAAGACTACAAGTAAAGAAGTATCTGAAAATGAAAAAGGAAAGAAAGTAACCACAGGAGAAACAAGTTCTAGTAATGATAAAATAGCAGAAAATATCCAGCTATCAGAAAAGAGGCTGAAGCAAGAACCTGAAGAGAAGGTAGTTTCAAACAAAACAGAAGATCACAAAGGGAAAGAACTAGAGGCAGCTGACAAAAACAGAGAAACTGGAAGGTTCAAACCTGAAAGTAGTTCTCCAGTTAAGAAAACACCGATAACTCCAGGGCCCTGGAAGGTGCCAAGTGGAAATAAAGTCACAGGCACTATTGGTATGGCTGAGAAACGGCAGTAACCGTTAGTATAAAACAAAAACAAGTTGTAATCTTTTCTTACAGCAGCATTTTTCCAGAAAAAGCCTTTTTTTTTCAGATATTCTGAAACAGATAAGTACATGTTAATGTGAGCATCAAGTTACCTAGGCTGCATGAAGGGCCTTTAGGATTGCTAAGAACCAACTGTCCCCCTGGCCGGCTGCCCTCCCTCGCACTCAGGAAGGAGCTGCATCCACACGCTCATCTGACCCGCCCTGCTCAGGCTGCCCAGCTCATCTTCACGAGTGTCTGAACAAATGACATATGTTGATATTAACAGTGTGGTCACAACTCACTTTGTATTTGTGCCAAGTTATCTACTGTATCATGTCTGTTTTTATCCTTCTTGTTCAGCTATTTCCACAGTAATGAAAAAGTTAGGTTTGGCTTGGAAGTTGATGTTCTCAATAGCATGTTGCATGTTTACAGAGAGAAATATGTGAGTCCTTGCAGAAGACGAGACTGTTAACTCATCGTTAAAGATGGCAGTTGTCGTCTAACAGCTACTGATGATGTCCCACTTTAAAAATAAAACCCCCAAACATCACTACTTTAAGGAAAAAAATGTAGTCCAATACTGATGCTTTCTTACAGCTTTTTATTTTAATTTGGCTGGATAAGTTGTTTCAAATAACTGTTAAAAGATATTACTTACAATTGAATGTTCAAAATGAGAAAGTACTTTAAGCAATAGAGTTCATCTCTTGCTGTGTTATCCAACCTCGATGTATACTTACAGCATCTCAGGTCACGCTTTTTATTTCACTTATTTAATTATGAAATCATAAAGAAGCATGTGGAAATAGTGTTTATTGCTCTTTGAAGAAAAACCGCCAACTATTTCTGGATATTTTGGCTGTACCTACTACTAAAGTCATTAGTCTTTAATACATAATACATATTTGAAAAGTAAAATTATTATATAGATTATGTGAGGGACTTAATCATGAAACCAGTTTCACAGTCCAGGTACCAACTCTTCTGGTAGCAGGTGCACAAGCTTGGGTGTTTAGAAACAACCTGTGTAGGGTATGCTGCCCAGCAAGTGAGGACAAATGTGTAGACAGTACTTACTGGATCTTATTTAACTTTTGGCTACATTAACTTTCTTATTTAAAAACAAGAAAGGGAGACTAAACATCTGCTTAGCTTGTACACATTTTCAGAATTCTGTTTAAAAGTCTAGTTAAAGGTGTTTCTTAGAAGTTGGAGACTGTTAACTGCCATAAAATAGATCCAGGTTTTTCAGTTCCCTGAAGCAGCATTCAGTAGCATCTATATAAATAAAGGCACCTTCGGAGAATAGAACTATTCCATGGAGTGTGTGAACACACTTGTTACGTCACCTGGGTTCATCCTGTTGTGAAGCACATTACGTCCAGGTCCTTCCCTCTGGGAGTCTGACTGTGAAACTCTTTAACCCAACAACTGTATTAGCCCCTGTAGATAAGACATGCTTCCCAGAGTGAGATTTTTGAAATCCCCTTTTCATCCAGAACTATATTTACCCACCTATTGTAACTATTCAAATAGAGCAAAATTAGGAGGCTTGATAAATGCTAAGAATTTAGTACCACAGAAATTATTTATTTCCCTGTAGTCCACAATTAGTGATAACAAATCCTATTTTTGTTAACTGTGACATAACTTTGATGTCATATGTTGTCCTATGTGGTTCTTCCTTTCTAAGTAACCTCTGTCCTGATTATATACTGACTTAGCAATGTGGCCTTGGAATGCTGAGCAAAATGTGGATGTACTGGTTGTAAATGTTTATATATTGTACAGTACCTTTATATATACACTTGAGGTTCTGATTAGAGAAAGATCTGTAAATTGCTCGTTATTTTTTATATAGATATTAAAAAAAAAAAAAAACAAGAGTTCCTGGCCTGCATTTCTGTGACTGTCACATTGGTTCAATGTTGCTTTCTACTGGTGGAGCAAGGTTCCATCATAGTCTGAGTCCGCAGACAAGATTTTGTCCCTCCAAGTAACAAACATTCAAAGTCCTAAAATCAGGAAGATTCTTATAATAATGATTTTACCTGTATAGCTACACTTTTATTTACACATAGAGTTTGAAATTGTTTAGAGTTGAATATCATTATACCCATTTTTCATCTTTCATTGTAAAGAAAATAGCTTTGGATAAATAATTTGCTACTAAAAATCCTTTCTTACACTGTTGGGGAGAGAAGAAAATTTCTTACTGGAAATTCAGCTACTAGACATTTATAATGGCTATAGTAACATAAGTCCAGTTACCACAAGGTCACAAAATTCCATTTCAGCAGACTAACGATCCACATTATCTTTAAAGGTCATTTATTTAGTTTTATACTTACTTTTAGAATAAAGCGTTTTGATTTAACTCGGTATGAAAAGTGCCTAAAACCTACTTCAAAACCATGGTAAATTTTATACTCTTAAGGTGAAATATAAATTCCCACCTACCATTGCAAGAACTCATACTAAAAGTAAACCCACGGCCGGGCACAGTGGCTCATGCCTGTAATCCCAACACTTTGGGAGGCCAATGCAGGCGGATCATTTGAGGTCAGGAGTTCGAGAGCAGCTGGCCAACATGGCAAAACCCTGTCTCTACTAAAAATACAAAAATTAGCCGGGTGTGGTGGCGGGTGCCTGTAATCCCAGCTACTCAGGAGGCTGAGGCAGCAGAATTGTTTGAACCCAGGAGGCGGAGGTTGCAGTGAGGTAAGATCACACCACTGCACTCCAGCCTGGCTGACAGACAAGACTCCATCTCAAAAAAAAACAACAACAACAAAAGTAAACCCAAACTTCTAGTTCCCAGACACCACAGTGAAGATGTGCCATAGCAGAGGCTGCGGAAACTGGCAGTAAAATCGTTTTGTTGTTTTAGTGAACATATTTCCTTACTGGTCACAACAAGGAGAAAAGCTTTGAGATACTATTACATTGTCTCACTAGTGAGATGAGAAGGCTAAGATCCTATGATATTGTCTTCTATTTACATCAGTCTTGGACCAGGTAGCTTTTGAACAGGGTCAACTCTTATTTCAGAAGTCTTGGACCCAGAAAGGCACTTCGCTTTTTACTCAACATAAGAATACCTTGTTATTTCCCTTTTTAATAGCAAGATTTAAAAGAGAAGCAAATGTAATCATGTAGAAGCCAAATGCTTTTAAACATGCAGACAAAGAATTTTATGTTTAATATGTCCACTATTCAAAGAGTAAGGATTTAATAAGGCAAGGAGTATTCAGATTAAACTGTATAACAGTCTCACTAATGACTTCCAGGAAGCTGTATTTGACACTTAGTCCACAGTGGAGCTAAGGAACATTGATATAAATAAACTTGTTACAAAATGTGACATTTCAGTCTGGTAAGAGAAATACATCAGAGCAACTTATTACATCATCATGGCATGCTCCAAGGCCTAAAAACTATTTGTGCTTTTGAAACAATAACCTTTATTTATTCAGGTGGCTCTTTTCTGGTTCTATTAGAGTTTATCGGGAATATGATGACTTGTTTAAAGCATGTCATTATTACATGGAATCTATAATTTTTGCTTTTAGTTAGCTGAATTACGACATTGATAGGCAAGTAGCCTTAAGAATTATAAACCCAGGCATGGTAGTATACACCTGTAGTCCAAACTACTCAGGAGGCTGAGCTGGGAGGATCACTTGAGCCCAGGAGTTTGAGTCCAGGCTGGATGACACAGTGAGACCCCATCTCAAAAATTTTTTTTTCCCTTGAGATGGGGTCTCACTCTGCCATCCAGGCTGGAGTGCAGTGGTGCGATCTTGGCTCACTGCAACCTCTGCCTTCTGGGTTCAAGCAATTCTCCCACCTCAGCCTCCCCAGTAGCTAGGACTACAGGTGCGCACTACCACACCTGGCTAATTTTTGTACTTCTTGGTAGAGATGGGTTTTCACCATGTTGGCTAGGCTGGTCTCAAGCCCCTGACCTCATGTGATCCGCCCACCTCAGCTTACCAAAGTGCAGGGATTACAGGTGTGAGCCACTGCGCCCAGCCAAAAAAGAACTTTTTTTTTTTTTTTTTTAGTAGTATAAGAAGGGAGTATGAAGGCTTATAAAGAGAATTCTGGACAGGCGTGGTGACTCACACCTGTAATTCCAGCACTTTGGGAGGCTGAGGTGGGTGGATCAAGAGATCAAGACCATCTTGGTCAACATGGTGAAACCCCGTTTTTACTAAAATACAAAAAATTATCCAGGTGTGGTGGTGCATGCCTGTAATCCCAGCTACTTGGGAGGCTGAGGCAGGGGAATCGCTTAAACCCAGGAGGCAGAGGTTGCAGTGAGCTGAGATTGTGGCACTGCACTCCAGCCTGGTGACAGAGCAAGACTCTGTCTAAAAAAAAAAAAAAGAGAGAGAGAATTCTATTTAATAGAAAACCCTGAATCTTTCTCATTTATACATTAAAATAGGAAAACATAGCCAAGAGCTTTAATTTAGCCTAAACCTATATTTTGACAAATAATCCTGTGGGTATTTTGCAATATTGCATTCAAGTAAAGCTTAACTATTAGCAAATACACAAATCAAGAGACATATTTTGCCATTAATAAAAGATAACTGGCTGGGCATGGTAGCTCACGCCTGTAATCCCAACACTTTGGGAGGCCAAGGCGGGTGGATCATGAGGTCAGGAGATCGAGACCATCCTGGCTAACACAGTGAAACCCTGTCTCTACTAAAAATACAAAAAATTAGCCAAGCATGGTTGCACACACCTGTAGTCAGTTACTCAGGAGGCTGAGGCAGGAGAATCGCTCGAACCTGGGAGGTGGAGGTTGCAGTGAGCCAAGATTGTGCCACTGCACTCCAGCCTGGGTGACAGAGTGAGACTCCGTCTCAAAAATATTAAAAAAAAAAAAAAAATAGGAAAATAAAAGACAACCATTTATTAACTAGAGTAATACCCTATTATACCTTATAGGCTCAGGATATGCTGCAGGAAAGGTACAGAATTATTGCACATTTGTGAAACTCACACTTCACTATTCAACATGGGTCCCCATAACTGCAGGAAGTAACCTTACTAAACTAGCCAGTACATGAATAGATTAGATTTAATGAATTAACTTGATATTCCCAAGTGACACACTGTATTTGGGAGAGAAGCTCATCTAGCCTATTATAAGTGTATAGAACTAAAAGTTTTCAAACATAAATTTCATTAATTTGAAAGGTTATTTTTATATTGCATAGGTCCACTTGCCTCTAAATAAAATGAACCAAAAATAAAAACAAACTCATACTTTGTGAGACATCCTGGTATTTAGAATTTTTCTACCTGTCTCTGAAAGTCAGAACCATACTCCAGTGAGGCAATTATTTGGTTATTTAACTTCTCAAAGTGTTTATATTATACACAGGTCATATTGTACATATTTAGAAAGTCTGTAGATCAGTGGTCCCCAACCTTTTTGGCACCAGAGAGTGATTTCATGGGAAGCAAGTTTTCCACGGACCTGGGGGCAGGGGGAGGGGGTGCAGGGAGGGGATGGTTTCAGGATGATTCAAGTGCATTACATTTACTGTGCACTTTATTTCTATTATCATTTCATTGTAATATATAATAAAATAATTACACAACTCACCATAATGTAGAATCAGTGGTAGCCCCGAGCTTGTTTTCTTGCAACTAGACGTCCCATCTGGAAGTGACGGGAGACAGTGACAGATCATCAGGCATTAGATTCTCATAAGGAACACGCAGCCTAGATCCTCACATGCACAGTCCACAATAGGGTTTGCGCTCCTCTAAGAATCCAGTGCTGCTGCTGATCTGACGGAGATGGAGCTCAGGTGGTAATGCAAGCAGTGTGAGCAGCTGTAAATACAGATGAAGCTTCACTCTCCCCTGCAGCTTACCTCCTGCTGTTCGGCCAGTGGGGGGTGTGGGTGGCTGGGGACCCCTGCCGCATATTATACACCCAACTTTCAGAGAGAGAATTTTTCCCAACTGCAGATTATAAAATTAAGTCAACAGGTATTTTTCTTACCCTTCTATGGTTATTACTATTCCAACTAAATGTGTGAATGGCCTAATCTAATTGTTTTTACATCTTGGTTTAATTTCTCAGTAACAAGTAATTAACACCAAAATCTCATTTCTTTTTTGAAATCAAAACAAAAGCCCAAGTTCCTAGAAATTACTATACAGGGATAAACGAAGCACTGAAGGTAGGAGAACCATGAAATTACAGTAAATTCTTGGACAACACGGGTTTGAACAGTGTGGGTCCACTTATATACAGGTTTTTTTTCTGTAAGTATATTGGAAAATGAGATTTATGACAATTTGAAAAAAGAAACCATGTAGCCTAGAAATACAGAAAAATTAAAATGGTATGTAGATACTAGCCTATTTTATCATTTACTACAAAATACACACAAATCTATTATAAGAAGTTAAAATTTATAAAAACATACAAACACAAACTGTACATGGCACCATTCACAGTTGAGAGAAATGTAAACAAAGATACAGTATTAAATCATAACTGCATAAAATTAACTGTAGTACATGCTGAGCTACTATAATTATTTTGTAGTTACCTCCTGTTGCTATTGTGGTGAACTCAAGTGTCGAAAGGTCTGTTTAAAACACCATGTGATGCTAACCATCTCTGTGTGGGCAGTTCATCTCTTCATAAACCGTGGATCACAGTAAAAAGTGATCCCTTGCGGTTCCTGCATATTTTTCGTGATTAGTGCAATACTGTAAACCTTGAGGACATAAAAACTGCAAGACCCATATGAAGTACCACCAGTGATAGAAGTGCTCCCAAGAAGCACAGAGGAGTCACGACATTAGAAGAAAAAGTTGAATTG